TGTGAACAGGTACGGAAACAGGAGGGGGAGTGACAGTGAAGCACGCTAATTTATAACCACTGAGGCATCTTCGTTTCATGCCTCTTGTAATAAAGACGACAGTTTATCTTAGACAGCAGCTCATATTACTGTAGCTGCATGCATCGTGTTATGTTTCCAGAGTAGTATTATTGCCTAAACTTGCCAGTTTTGGCGTTAGTGTGTTTTAAAGGGGAATTATGTATATTGACATCAACTTTGAAATTAAGGCCACAGGCAAAACCAATGGCATTGGTTCTTACATTTTTTAGCACATTAATAATACTGTCTTTGTATCTGACTTGAGACAAGCCAGATATGCATGTTTGCTAGTTACAAACAGCACACTGCTGGTGGCTAGTGCAAATCTATGAGTGCTAATTCAACAGAGTTGGAAATATTTTCTTGTTGAAAATAGTTTTCCGGTGCCATTAAATCACAGTAAATCATTTTGACAGTTAAGTATTACAATTGTCACCAGATAATGTTGGAAATTTTCCCTAGCTGCCTAGGGCAGTCAGGCCTAATGATAGTTTTCTAATGAATGCAGGCAATTGTTGACACAGTGGACAACCTGCTCAGGCCTGAAGCTCTGGAATCCTGGAAAGATATGAATTCTTCGGAACAAGCGCACGCTGCAACAATGTTACTTGATACACTAGAAGAAGGGGCTTTTGTCTTGGCTGACAATTTCGTAGACCCAACTAGAGTCTCAATGCCCACAGAAAATATTGGTAAGTGAATTTTTCTTCAAGTACAGTTTCAAGCACTGTACAGCTTGAAACAACAACAATTCAGCCAAATAGTCACATACACTTAGAAAGCTATGGCAGCACCTGGTGGTACAGCTTCCCATGTTGAAAAGCAAATTCTTATAAGTGGTGATGTTTTCTTAATTAGTTTTAAAACCCTGCTGCTTCTGTAGCATAATTAATGCAGTGTAAAAAGTAAAGTAGTTTTTGTTGCAAAGTTGATTTACAATTGAAAAATCATTAGCAGAACGTATGGATATGAAGAGTGCTTAAATGCCAGGGTATGGATTTTCTGAAGTAACTGAAATGCTTGGTGCAGAGCTGTGGAAATGCTTTCCCATTATATATAATCTGCTCCTAATGAATTTAAATTACTTTTTGCAATGTGTTCTGCTAGTTAAATATTTTAGGCACCTAGAACATGGACCAAACGTTTATATTAAACACAACTGCCTTCAGGTGAAAATGTGCTCAGTGAACTACATCCCCCATAATGCAGAATAGCTATGCTCCAGAGATTGCAAAATAGCTGAAGAGACTTGGAGCATAATTTAGAATTTAAATAGTGGCACTGAAATGAAAGGATTCAGTATGAAGGATGTACAAACACAGGTGTATATCCTTGTTATGGCTGAGACCACTACGATGCGGAAGAGTTAATATGTCTCTGCACCGAGGGTGCACCTGAGAAGTCAAGCCTCAGTGAGATATTTTTGAAATCATAAAAATCTGAGTAGTATTGGCCCAAAGGCTTCAGGATGGAATGACAGATTTGGGAATGAGGACATTACTATAATATTCCAGGACCAGGATTTTGCTGGTATGGCGGATAAGGAAGAAGTGGAGGACTTGAGATTAGTTTTGGCTTTGTTTATATACAAATATGTAATACTTTAAACTTCCATCTTCTTCTTTCAAACAGTGTCCTGGTCCTATATTATGCAATGTAATATTAGTGCAAACTGTTCACTTCTATTTTCACATATCCAAATTTCTATTATGGATGCCCAAACATTATTAAATTTTATATGGTGGGTCTTTCTTCTGACATAAAACTATCACTTTTGTATGGCTGTCATGAACAAAAAATTACACTAATTGCCCTTTGGGAAATGTTTGGGGAGTTTTGTCCCCTTTTTAGTAAAATTTTCTTGTGGAAAAAATTTGGAGACTTTCCACCAAAATTAAACATTAATGAAGATGTTAATTTTAAAATCTATTACTTAAACACCTTTTTATTTGTAGTTTTACTTTCAGTTTTTCTTCCAAAAGCAGCAAAGGTGCAAGTCTCCAAATGTGCCTGCATTTCATTCATAAGGGAAGAGCTTCCTATAAAATAGATTGGGCTTTATTGAGAATCTCATCTCATTCACATTTCATTTTGCAAACACTGACATATATGAACAGTTCCATTTAGTTCAGTAAGACTGTATGTGTCAGTGCTTATGAGATGCTGCATTCAAATCATAATTAATAATATATTATGGATGTCAAGAGTATTGATGTCAATCAGAACCTAACAGACCAGTCCTTCAAACACAGATTGAAACTAAGTCTCTTGCAGAAAAAGAAGTTAAAGTCTTATCTCAAGAAAGGCTTGTGGTAGACTCCCATTCTTTTAATTTCTTTGATCTTTTTTGCTTGTTTAAAAACATTCCTGAAAGTTCCTAAAACTCTCCTTCACTTGGCTGAGCTAGAATTTCACGTTTATTGGTCTCAGTAGTCAAATACATAGTTTCTATAATAAAGCATCTGCCAGATTTTAACTTCTTTTGTTTGTTTGCCATTGTGAACATTTTTGTTCATTATTAACAATATGGTAGAAAATAAATTAAAATCATTATTAAATAAAATGTGTATCTTGGGGATAAATGCCAGGTTTAATACAAATATGAAGATATTTGCTAAGTATGTTGTTATGGCCTGGGTAATTTTATGGATCAAAGAGATTGCAGTGTTGCTTGGTTATCTTGTAAAACTTACGAGCCACACTATATTAAATTTAGTTAAATAACTGCATTTGAGTCTTCACTTTAAAGTACATCCAGTAGAACATCATAATGTCATTCAGTAATCCTTTAGATATAATCAGAAAAACTATATTTGAGGCCCTTGATACAGAAATACTTATTTGTCCAAATATTCATTTTTGGATAGTCTTGATGTTGCAAAAACCACGTTAAAAATTGTGGGGAAAAATAATGATCAATGCAGTAGAGGCACTCAAGGTTCCAAAAATTATGCATTTATTCAATCTAAACTTTTATAGTACTTTTAAGGCATTTATTTTTGTCCAGCATTTAAACAATGTTGAAACATGTGAGCACACATCTGTCTTGTAGAGACAAACAAGGACAGCTGAATAAGGACATTTCAGAAAATTATCAACTGATACATTTCAATCTGACCAAAAAACAATTTCTACATTTTTATCTTCCTCTCTCCCTTGTTCTCACTAGTTCTGGAAGTTGCCATGCTCAGTACAGAAGGCCAGGTACAGGACTTGAAGTTTCCTCAGGGCAGTAAAGGAGGCAATTCAATCCAGCTCTCCTCAAGCACTATAAAACAGAACAGCAGGAACGGTGAGTCTTGGGAATGTGAACAGTATGACTCCTTTAAACTGTAAAACCATGTTTAAGGCTATAATAACTTGAACTTTTCATTTCAGAGCATATTAATCCATCCCTTAGCAAAAGTAAAAAACCGTTCAGTGGCTCTTTACACAGTGTGCATGAAGCATTTTCATCTGGAATCCAAATCCTGCAAATGCTTTTCTATTTCCTAATGCTTTATTTTTCATTTTGACAGAATATGAAACATGCATTGTATTCTTCAGCTACAATTCCATGACACGATAATGTAGGTTGTTTGGTTTTGTTTTAAATAGGGTTAGCAAAATTGGTTTTCATCATTTACAAAAGCTTGGGACGGTTCCTCAGTACTGAAAATGCTACCATAAAGCTGGGCAGTGACTTTATCAGTCGAAATAGCACCATTGCAGTGAACTCACACGTCATTGCAGCCTCCATCAACAAAGAGTCCAGTCGTGTGTACCTGACTCATCCTGTGCATTTTACCCTGGAACACATTGATGTGAGTTATGCTAATGAATTAATGGGAAGGTCATAAAATCAGCAAGAGAGAAGAAAATGCAAGGCGGGGTGCGGGGGAGGTTCTTTTTTCCATTTGAATTTTAAATGTTGGACTAGGTCAGAGACACAAGTTTATTTAAGTCTATGAACATAAAATTAAATGAGCCTGGTTCAGTGATTATTAGAACTTAAGTGTATTCTTAATGAAAGCTAATTCAGTAATCAACATGAAAATGTAAATGACTCTAATTTGTTTCTAAGTGAAAATTAACTCTTACCTTAGCAGCAGGATAGAAAATATCAACTGTTATGACTCTTGCCTGTTTAATGTAGCAAAATTAAATGACACAGAGGGTATTTACTTTAATTCAGGACCATCTTTTGAAAACCTTTCCAAATTATTTAAATAGATTTAATCAGCAGAGTACAAAATGTGGCTTCTCTGGTCTGCCATGCCTTAAAGTTTACAGACCATCTTCCTTGTCTTTTGCTAAGTCAATATGTTTATTTCCTCATGTAATACCTGCTGACTGAGTTGGGTCCCCCTGTTTTTATGCAGAGAGTTGGTTTCTTAGACCATCAGGACTAGCCTGGAGAAACATTTGGATGGGTTTTTTGTCTGCCTTTGCTGCTTTTCTTTTAGCTAGACCTTGAGGAGACCACTCTTTCCCAAATATGGTTACATTTAAATTTGGCCAGACCAAAATTGAGGCTAGAAAAGTGATCATATTTTTCAATGCTTGACTACAGGTGAAACCCCTTTAGAATAAATTCACAATTCTAATTTTGCAGGGGGAAAAAAGTGGCTACAGTGTACCATCAGTGCATAAAATCACAAGATGGAAATTGTAATGGTTTCAAATTGGGTATACAGTAATTGAGGCTACACTTTAGACTGTTTCGGACTATAAAGTCCCTTTTAAACTAGATAACTGCAGTGTACAACATTGTCCACAATTTTGCTGATGAAAAACTTTATAGTCCGAAACATGCAAAATTTAATCTAAATTACCGTTTACACATATTAAACAATTGTTATTGCCATCAAAGTGAGTAGAATCCTAATTTTATCCTTTTATCTCTCAGCCTGACAATTATTTCAATGCAAATTGCTCCTTCTGGAATTATTCGGAGAGGACTATGATGGGATATTGGTCCACTCAGGGCTGCAAACTGGTTGACACAAATAAAACTCATACAACATGTGCTTGCAGCCACCTAACCAACTTTGCAATCCTTATGGCTCATCGGGAAGTTGTTGTAAGTAATGCTGTTTCTAGTCGATAATAGGTAACTGTTGAATTTTTGGAAAATGTAAACTTTTGGATATATCAATGACAGAGTGTTAGAAGCTTCCAAAAGCAGCCTTCTTTTTTTATCATCTTTCTACCTCTCCTTAGAACTGATCAGAAAAAAGGAGTGGGAAGTCTCAAAACATTAAAGCTAGGGGCTGAAATTACACATACATCAGTATAAGTGATCAGAAACCAGTTCAAATCTGTAATGCAACAGAAGTTCAGTGTACATAAACCACTTTCAAAATGGCTGAAACTGATTTAAGATAAACCTGGATGAATGTAGTATCAGATTTAACTGGTTTAGGTTAATCAGTTTATTGAACTTCTGTCCCAGATCCCCATCAGATTCGAGTTAACTCACAGTCCCCCAGCATCCCAGGATGCTTTGCACCTCCCTCCCAAATTACTCCCCCCAGGGTGGGTGGGCTAGTTTTGGCTTAAGCTGTCTCTTCCAGCTGAACAGAGAGGCATGTTCTAACGCCCCCTGGCTTCTGGCCTGGGCCACTGCAGGCATATTGCTGCATTTCTGGAGTCAAAAGTGAATATTTGGTCACTTGCTTATCAGTTCAATCTATGTAGTTTAAACTAACACGCAAAGATTAAATCAATTTAGTCTCGGGCTTTTTAACTGTCTGTACTTAGCCTAGAAAGGAGGAGGACCAGATCCTCTTTTACCTATTTAGACATGAAAGTAAACTTAGGCACCTATATGTGATCCTTTTCAACCCTGCCCAGAAAAAAAAAAAGCAGTGAGTAGTCCTCCTGCTCTCTACTTTTTGTAACCTAGTCTTTAGGCCAAGATGGCAATGTGTTGCAAAGTAGACACATTAACATTTTTTCAATAACTTGAGCAGAATGGGACAGGATGACCCTTTGATGACTAAAATTCCTATTAGGTAGAACAGAATCTAACCCAAAGTTTATAAACTCTTGTTTTATTGGCATTTTCTGATGAGATGTCACTCCCCGACACAAGGGTAGGCTTTTTGCTTCCTCAGCTCAACTTTCACTCCTTCAAAAAATTGAGACTGTTAGAGACTGTTCCCAGGTACAGCTGGATAGTAATTGTGGAGGAGTCTATTCAACCAACTTGTTTGCAGGCCCAACTACCAGCTTCTGTGGCCGCGGCAAGGCACAAAGTGCCTCTTAACTGTGTTCCTAGTGCTTCCCTGGGGCCTAGAATTTGGCTCTCACCTGAAACCCAAAGTACCCATCAGGCCTCTAAGAGCTAGTTTATCCATATGACTGCCTTGGTTTACTGCTGGAAAAATACTCCCCACTCCTGCTGGGCACACAAGCAGTTAGGCAGAGCAGGCACTTTGGAATTGACCCCAAGCAACTCAGAACAGATTTGAGTTTCTGTTGAAAATCTCTGAATCTTGTTCTAACTAATTTGTCCTATCAGTAATCCCCCTAAGCTTCCATCCAAGTATTTCCCATATGCCATTGCAGGTCTGCAGGAAAGGACCGAGGAAGTCTTTTATTGACTATCATAAATTTAAAATCTCCTTTGTGTTTGCATACATACCCAGCAATCCATTCAAAATACAATGTCTCCTTTGTATAGACTGTTCTTCAACCTTTCAGTGCATAGTAGAGAAAGTAAAAATAATATCTGACCTAGCTCAAATATCCATCTCAGTGTACTCAAACCTACCCTTCTTTACTCCAGCCCTAAGCTTGTTTTTCTGATAAGCCTGACGTAAGATTGATAAATTACTTAGCACCTATTTTTTCCCTGTCACTTGTAAAATAAAGCAGCAATTTGCTACCTGCTACCTATGAAAACAGTCTTCTGTTTGCCCTGATAAATGGCTGTATTAATTTTCTTCCTTCTTGATTGTTTCCAGTACAAAGATGGAGTACATGAGTTACTTCTCACAGTCATCACCTGGGTGGGAATTGTCATCTCCCTTGTCTGCCTGGCCATCTGCATCTTCACATTCTGTTTCTTCCGTGGCCTACAAAGTGACCGTAATACCATTCACAAGAACCTTTGCATCAACCTATTCATTGCAGAGTTTATTTTTCTAATAGGCATCGATAAGACAGAATACAAGGTAAGTCTTCTGTCTGCATATTGATCTTGTTCTCTGAAATGACTATTTGAAATGGATGTGATTTTAACGTGATACCACTGCCAAGCTTTCAACTTACTGTATGTAACTGACACAGCAAGGCTGAGTTAAAAGCTTTAGGAAAGATTAAGATAGACATACTCACAAAAAATATTTACATGCATCTGAAATACCATTATGGCCTCTGTTCCCCACTTTACTAAAGTAGTGTTTGTTCAATTAAGAAGCATGAGTTGTTAATAAAGGTAGCTGATTTAAATGGAACTGCTCAGAGCGGTGTTGAAATTAAATGTCGATGTACCAGAAACACTTGAATTTTTTACTCTGAAGACCTGTATGTGTGTTGCATGCTAGTTTTTGAAGCTTCTGTGAAATTCAGCCCATCACTCAGAGCTCAGTGAATGGCTTGAAATTTAATAATTTGGAAATTCATCCAGTTTTCAGCTAGACAAGAGTGAATCAAATTGGCTACTGATATGACAGCAGAACTTCCTAAAATAGTAGGGGCAGTGATATTTGATATTAAAGCAGATAGAAAATTCTGACTGGTGCTTGCGAATTTTAAACAGATATAAATAATACATCTAGAACCAACTGTTCTTTATCTTCATGTTCTAAATCATCTACAATATAAGTCTTGCAGTATAGTGTTAACATCTGAGATTCAAAATTAAGGGTTTGCTTTTTGCACTGGATATTTCATACCATTAAGGAATGTTAATAAGGTTTTCCTGCCCATATCAACAAATAAAGTGTGATTGAGGATGCTTTCTTCAGCTCCTGTCAACATAATACTTTACTAACATTTGTGAATATCTGGGGCGTGTTTTCAAGTAGTGAAAACTAGCCTGGACTTCTGAAGGGGATATGTGGTGAAGTGTATTTTGGTGTCCTACCTTCTGAATACATTTGTATGCTGTTTAATTTGCAGTGCATCACATTAGGTAAGAAAGTGAGGATTTGGTATTTTGCATTTTCATATTTCTCTTTCTTTGCAGATTGCATGTCCGATATTTGCAGGCCTCTTACACTTTTTCTTCCTGGCAGCATTTGCCTGGATGTGCCTAGAAGGAGTACAGCTCTATCTCATGTTAGTAGAAGTATTTGAAAGTGAATATTCTAGGAAGAAGTACTATTATGTTGCTGGCTACCTCTTTCCTGCCACAGTAGTTGGTGTCTCAGCAGCTATTGACTATAAGAGCTATGGAACAGAGAAAGCGTAAGTAATTGCAAGTGACCTGAGTGTTTTTCAAGTGAATAATTTTTTAAAGCCTGTTAGCTGTCAGAGGGTCTCTGACAGGCTAAAATAGCATCTAAAAGCTTTATTGGTAAGAGAATGGCAATGCTGTGCACAAATTACAATCAAGTCTTTTGTAATTCTCTAGGTTCAGAGAATTTGTACTCTGGAGAGGCAAATTCTAAATTATGGTCTTTCTTTTAACACAAAAGATTGACCTGAAACAAATTGAAAAAGTAAATAACTTTTTGGCCTCAAATGGATATTAAGCAAAATTTCTTCTTGACTTAAAGTATCTGACCGGCTTAACCACCCAGTTTTAAGCTAATGCTTCATTAGATCCCTTTGTTCAGCTGGCCCTCTAGCGAACTTTTATTCTGAATTATGACAGTACAGTATTCCAACCCATATGTTTTGCTTTGATAATATTTTATCAGGAGAGTAAAGTGGGATTAAAATTAGCCAATGCCTTTTATTTATAAACATACAGATATGTATAGAATGTGACAGAAGGTAGACATAGAATGTTTCTGAGGATTTGAATTGCTGGAGGCATGAATTTGCCTTCCAATAGTGTTTACTTTGTCCTTTGATGAAATTAGTTACAGTATAGGAGGATACTGTTGACGGTAAGAAAGCTGCTGGATTTTGCTGCTGATGAAAGACAAATAAAAGGGATTCAACAGGGAGTTGGGGTATATGAAAAACGAATCACTAAGTGAAGTCAACCCTGATAAGTTTATGCATCATTCAGTCTAATATCATATGTGTTTTTCCTAGTATTCAACTCCCAATTGGGGCATTTTATTTATATCAGACTGTTTTGTAGCAAAACATGACATCTGAACATTTTCTATCTTGCATTCCTCAGGGGTAAGCACTTTGCATATGATATAAAGTTAAAGCAAATTTTGGAGATTACACAGAAAGCCTGTGAAAAATAAAGCATTTATTGATGTTAGGGTTCATCAGGCTATAGCAAAAGTTTTAACTAAACCTAGAAGAGAGAAAGAGGTACTTTGTAACCACATTAGTTATTCTTGATGCTATATGGTATATAGAAAGAAAAACTGAGTAGATGGTGAACAGCTTTGTTAAACAGTGCACAGCAAAGCAGCCCTAGGTTAGGGGGAAAATGCCCATGATGAGAATGTTGTTGTTCAGGGTGGCCTCATTACTCATTTTGAACGACCTGTTCAAGGATTGTTTAATTGTTTTTTTCCAATTTTCATTTGCACAACTAAAGAGTTAATATAATCATTCACCCCTCTTTTTTTTTTTCATCACAGTTGCTGGCTCCATATAGATAACTGTTTTATCTGGAGTTTCATTGGGCCAGTTACCTTCATTATTCTGGTAAGAATGCTTTTCCTTATCTGGAATTTTTTGTTCTTTTTTTTGCCTCATTTTAAGGTCGTATTATGGGGGCTGACCAACATCAGTCATTATCACCCCTATTCTCAGAGGTTTGCATGAAAATTCTAATAACACATTTTTAATGTTAACAGGGGATTTAAAATGTTTAGAAATCTCCAAGTAAAAAGTGGTATTGACCAATCATTAATGTTCAAAACCAAGCTTAGTTTTAATACAATAACTTTTTTCCTAATGGTTTTAATACTCAAGGTCATATTGATATGCCAGTCATATGACAAATCAATTCCGTACTAAATACAGATTTGCAAGGGAGCCATTATTACTATTTTTATCGTCACTGTTGCTCATGTTAAAAAAAAAATATGTAACTGTTTTCCCAACAGAATGGTATGTCCCAAATAGACATTCTACAGTGTTTGAAAAATAATTCAGTCTAATAATTTCTGCATACATGTGCATGTTTATGTGTATGCATATTTGATTATGTAATTATAAATATTTCTCTGTATGTATGCTCATGCATGTGTGTGTAGAAATAAGGGACCAGCTGTGTCATCAAATCTGATCCCCAACAATTGCAGGCAACAATGTAATAGCCTTTATGTTCACTGTATCCACACATACTCACATGCACCACAACTCATTAAATAGCTTTACACACCCTCTAAAAAGCTTAAGACGCTTTGTAGTTTTTAAGGCTTTTGGTCTTTTGTACTGTGCGCCACAAGAAGACAGATAAACAAGGAGAGCTCAGGGGCACTGCCAGTGGCTTACATTTTTGCAAGGTCAGGGGATTTGTTAAGAGAAAATATATACCCAGATGATGCTGTGAAATGGAAGACAAACATGCCTACAGGGGAAGGCAAAAAAACCTGTCCTGAATGGTCCCTGCCAATCTGACCTCAGGGAAAATTCCATTGTAATCTAAAACCTAGTGGTTAGTTTGAATTTGGGCATATGAGCAAGACCCAGCAGCCAGGCCTCTGTGAGGTTTCTCAGTACCGTTAGGAACACAAGTATACCTCATCCAGTCTTCAATTTCTAGGTGGGACCAATCTCTGAAGACAGTGAGCAGAACTTAAAAAATAGTAGTCAAGGTTGGAGGGAAATTTTTTCCAGACCCATACAAGTGATGAGCAGAAACATGGAAATAATTAATCCAATATATGTGGTGGAACAAGCACCATAAGCATATTGAGAGTTCAAGAGGGTAGGGTGAACAGACAAGGGAACTTTGATCTCGGAGTTGTCACAACTGGCCAGCCTGACCTGCCTTAGACACGCATTGTATAATATTTCCTGTAGTCTAAACTAAAGTGCATCCTTGAAAAGACATCTAGCTTGCTTTAAGGTTCTTGTTTTATGGTAAGTCTACAATCCCTATGGCAAATACCACAAGGAAGCTGCAACCTCTCTCTGTCAAGGAAACATCATCTCACCTTAAGACCATTTCTTTTGGTTGAAGCACCTGCCACCAGATCCAGCCATGTACTGTCATGATGTTCACGAACTTGACTCTACCATAAAACTTATCACATGCAAGCAACCACACATGGCAATAACATCTACTTGCAGCTTCCCCTTGGGGACAACCACAGATCAAGTACTTGAAGCGTTACACCACAAAACTTTAATTTCCGTCTTCAGGATCATTCCTGTCCTGTCATAAACTCCATTCCATGAACCTATCAAGCTTAGTTTTGAAATAACTAAGCTTTCTTGATTCTCCTCTCCCCATCTTCTTTGAAAGGCTGTTTCCAGAGCTTTACAGAACTGCACATGTTTTTATGTAAATAGTAATTAGAGTATTTTGTACCCAACAGAAAGTTGTGATTCATTCCATTTCTAATTGGTTAGGTACATACTTTATTTGTACGGTTATTTGTATAACCATGATTAAAAATCTAGTGGTTAACTTGTACATCCATTGTATATTTCCAGTATCATTCCAGCCTTCATAACAAATATATCTAGAATATGCTAGGACAGGGATTGGCAGCATACAGCCCATGGACTGCATCTGGTCAGTGCAGCAACTGGATGCAGCCCACGGAGTCGGAGGACACTGCCTGTGCACGTGCTGGGACTGAGCAGGAAGAAGCTGTGCTGGGGACAAGTAACATCTAGCTGCACCTGTGCCACCACTGTTTTGCCCCACCCATGTATGCATGCACACACGCACGGATGCTTATCAAGGCTGCAGCGTAGGCACAGCTTCCAGCCAGTGGGGAAGTGGCTGTGCTGAGGCCAGGGAGCTTCTAGCTGCTGGTGTGCCACAGCTGGGGGGCAGAGGGTTTGGAGAACCATTAGCAGTGCAGGTACAACTCCCAGCTGCCTGGCCATGGCATTGGGCACAAGAGAAGCCTAACGCTGCTGGTATGCTACTGAAGCCACCTGGCCTGCGTCAGCCCTGAGCCAAGTTGTCCCAGCGCATGTCTTTATAAGGTTCCTGGCTACTGTTTTAGGGGACTTTTTATACCATAATTTGGAAGAACAGAGTTGCTTTGACTGGTATTTTTAGATACCTAAGGTAATTAAATACCTAGAACGTAGATTTGTAGAATGCAATAGTTTTGACAAAAATTAAGAAAAGCCCAAAATTTCATATAATATCTGACATGGTCTTCTCAATATCAAGCTTCATATTCTCTCTTTTTTTTCAGCCTCCAAGACAGACTGTGAGCCTTAATTTCCAACTTCTTAATTTTTACTGATCTATACACAAAGCATTGTGTTATATAGTCATGTTTTTGAAATGAATATAAATATTTCCCATATGTATAAGCTACATATATATTTATATTTTCCGGAAAGTGAAAATAAATTGGTTCTTTTTGATTTTATAAATTACGGTGTAAGAGAGAGCAAAATATTTGATATGTGATTTCTCTTTTGTCAAGATACTATGCTGAGGTATTGCTAACCATATTTAGGACTGTTCTATTCTGGCGGCTTTGTTTTTCTTAGAAATCTTCCTTAAATATCTTACTTTTTTGCCAACTAATTAGGTGGTCTACAGTGAACAAGTGGATGTTTCAGTTTATACAGTCTCAAAGATATAAGGGTATCTTATGTGAAACTTCCTTTCTTCAAATGTCAAAGTTTATGTATGTGTACATATATATGTGTGTGCATATATATACATAGAATGAGATAGGAGATTATATTCTTTCTGAGATACAGGGAATGTTGTTAAGACCACTGCAGTCTTATTTTAAACTAGCATTTTGCCCATCAAGGATGATAGGGGGCTGGCGGGGATGGAGCCCACCGTCCAGCCCTGTGCCCCTACTGCCCCATCCTCATCCAGCCCTGTCCCCTCCCCCCCGATTTAGGCCTGACCCTGTTCCCTCCATTCCCCCCCACCCCGGCAGTTTGGGTCTGGG